GGTGGTAATAATTAACGACACAGATGACAGTCCTGACAACAATGGCTAAAGTCTATTGATCACTTACCTGATGTCAGACACTGTGCTAAGTCCTTCCCATTATTGTGCTCAGTGGTCATCACAGTCTTTACCACAGGGTAAGGACTATCGTATTCCCAACCGAAAAAGAGGTATTTAAAGGCTAGAGAAGATGCATAGCTTAGAGCTGATCTTCAAACCCACGACTGTCTAGTTCAAGACAAGGGCCAAGTCTTACTGGTCTTTGTCTTTTGACAGCTGGCATGGAGCTGGAGAGGGGTGCTTTTGCTTTTGTGAAATGGATATTTTGGGCCAAGAAGAGGTTGGGCTTCCTTATAACTGTCATGGCAATGGAATAGGCTGCCCTAAGGGAGTGAGTGCCCTGATGGAGTGAGCGCCCTGATTCTAGGGATTTTTGAACTGGGTGGGTGATTGGACTAACTCAGTAGTTTTACAACTGTGTTTTTACAGCATTGCTTCCAAGTGACCTGAGTGGAGTCTGAACTATAGACCTGAAGGGTAGGCTCTGGGCTCTCCTCTTCTTTTCCCAGAGTAGCACTGTTTATCTAATTTGTACATACAGGTCTGTGTGAAGTTGTGTTTGAATAAGGGTTTCCGATGCTGTGAAAGTCTTCAGACCAGTTGATCTCTAAGATCTTGTCTAAAATTAATGTTGCATAATGTCGCCAAGGTCTCATGTCCATGAGTGGCAGAGCTTGGACTAGAATTCAGGTCAACTGGGTCTTTCGTCTAATCTGTACTCTCCCGATGCCCAGACCTAGCACCCTCCTTCCTCACACAATTCACTGGAAGAGTTACTGCTCCAAGGCTCAGTCGTTTAGGAAAAAGAACTGAAAGTTGAGTAACCTTGGTAACAAAACCTGTCTCTTCCATTCATTAGCTGTGGAATCGTAAGCAGTCACGTATTTAGCCATCAAATATTTATTCTGTCTTCCTGTAGACCAGGCACTGTTTGGTGCACTGGGAATATAATGGTGAACAAGGCAGACAGAGTCCCTGCTCTCATCAAACTCACATTTAAAGGGTGATACAGAGGGGAGGGTATAGCTCAGTGGTAGAGTGCGTGCTTAGCATGCATGAGGTCCTGGGTTTAATCCCCAGGGTCCCCATTAAATACATAAATAAATGAATAAACCTAATCACCCTCCAAAACCCCACAAAACAACCCCCCCAAAACAACATAAAAAAAGAGTGATACAGAGAATAAAAAGTAGATAGATAAACCAGATATTTCCTACTAGTAAGGACCACCACACACACACAAATAAAATAAAATGAACCAGATCAGACAGTGGCAGTGAGAACCCTAGAATGAGGGTTTCCCTTGGGCTGTAGCAGAGGCTCATGAAGAGCTCTTTACTTTTTCACCTTTCAGCACGGTGGAAGATTCTTAAAAAAAAAAAAACAAAAAAGAAAGAAAGAAAAAAACACAAGATCCATGTCTCTTCCTAGTTGGATCCATCCTTTCGGTGTTGGCTGACCATACTCACTGGGATGGAGCAGACAAGCTCAGATCTTCTGAGACCCCATTTTTAGAAGGCCTGCCCTGGGACCCTGAACAGATGCTCAGGTAGGAACAAGAAAGCCCCGGGTGTGGCTGCAGAGTGTTCTGGGTCTCCTCCCCGCTTGGTTCTCACAGCCAGCCTAAGCTGTGAGCAAATGTCGTAAGAAGCAGACGTCGGTTTCCAGGTGATTATGCTGTTTCCTCCTTCTGCCTTGTCTTGGCAGGAAGTTTGCTTTTGTAAAAAAAGAACACTCTGCCAGGAGACCTGAGCTCCAGCTACAGGTCTGTCAGTAACTAGTCGAGTGGCCTTGGGGAGTCCTAAAATTGTAGAGCACAGAAAGATCTTAGGGAAATTCTGTATTTTACAGATAAGGAAGTGAGATTCCAAGAGGTTGACCACCGTTCAAGGTCATTTGGTATGTGCAGTCAGGCCTAGACCCTTAGGTGTCATGATTTCCAGGGTGATATTCTTTTTATCGTAACATGTTCTTGTCCCTTCTCTGGGCCTCAGGTACCTCATCAGTAAGACAAAGGGACGGACTTGACTCATGGCCCTGAACAGTGCACAGATGTGTTTTGTCCGGACAGCATGGCATTGTAAAATCCTTTAATGGGAGTCCTTGGGGTAGATCGTCAAGTCTCCACTTTGACACGGACCCCGTCACTCCCATTCACCATTGTCATCGGCCCAGCCCCTGTTTGCAAGACTTTAGGACCTAGACCAGAGGATCTCTAAGATCCCTTTTAATCTTGAATGTGTCTGATCCCACGTCTTCTCCCTTCACATTTTTAGACAGCAGACAGGATTTCTGATGAGAAAAGAGAATCTTTTGGATGGACTTTGTCCCTTTCTGGCAAAAATACCACCCATCAAATCAGAGAGGAGTGAGAAATTACAAAAGTTGAGTCATCTCAACCCAGAGAGGCCAAAGTCTGACTAAAGACAGCCTCGACTTAATAAGTTTAACTCGTAGAAAACCACCCGGCAAGATCAAGGGGGTGAACTCCTTCGGGTTTAGGAATAAAGGGCCCCTTATAGCTAAAGCTCCACCCTTTCAGGGAGACCCCTGCATCACACGTGCAGAAAGTATGTGAAGCTGGAACACCGTGTTTTCTCGGATGGCAGGGTCCCAGTGGGTCCGATCTGAGGCTTAGTGCTGGGAGGAGTGATGTTGGCTGCAGACACTGGCCTCGAATGAAACAATGACTATGCATGCTTCAGGGAATTCTGCTAAGTATGAGATCACCCCGGCTGCGCCGGGCTTTCTTCACACAGCCTGTTATCTCTGAGAGCGGAGTTAGAAAAGGCAATGAGTTTAAATACCCCAGGGAGCCTCTCCCCTGCCCCACAGAGTAAACCCTCCTCTGGCCCTGCCGTACCCCTGCCCGCAGAACACCGGCCTCAGACACGGGGTGGGGGGTTTTATCTCACGTCTCTCCGCAGTAGAAATGCCAGCTGCAGCCTGGTTTGCTCTGTCAAAGGACCGTCCATCCATGTACTCATTTATTCAGCACTTACTGCCCACTCTGCCTGCTGGCTTACTGTGTAGCAGACATGCCAGTTCTTGGGGTCTGGGAGTGAAGAAATCAAGAAACAGTTTTTGTGCTCATAGTGCTTATGTTCTGTCTGTGAAACAGGTGGCTGTTCTGTATGGATCCTAAAAAGGTCCGGAGTTTTTACGAGTATCTTAACTGCCTGGCAGTGTCTTTGATGGCGTTTTATGGGATACTAAGGTCTAACACAGTTTTTCGCTCACTTTTCTCCTTGTACCCACAGTGACCGTGAGAAGCAAACATGATTTCCTAGATTCTATGCCTTTTTTTCTTCCTCAGTTTTACAACTGTTAGAAAGCCTCAAGCCTTAATTATCGTAGCCTCCACTCCCTCCCTAGATTTCTGAATGCCAAAAAGGGGTTTTTAACACCCTGCTTTATACGTAGAGTTTAAAGACGCTTCTTCGATGTCCATGTGGAAACTCAAGCTGTCTGGAAATGAGCTGGTCTCTCCACAACCAGCTATTCATCCTGGTTTCCATATCTCCGTCATCAACACCAGTTTTTTTTTGTTTTTTCCTCTCTCATTTTCCAGGTTTGAAACCTTGTCTCCAGTCACTTCTGACATCTCAAAACTAAGTTGGCTAATCTTTTGCCTTCTTTCATCTTGTTCCTGTGGCTGTTCCAGTCTCTTTGTTGTCACTGCACACCCCCACCCCACCCCAGTTCCTCTCCAGCTCATTCTTGGATCAGTACATCAACTCGTAGGGAACCTCCCTGACTTCAGACTCTCCTGCCCCCACTCCAGTCTCTCTGGCACGTGGACACCAGATGAATGTTCCTTAAACATTGCTTTCATCTCACCATTCCCTACACCCATCAAATTAAATCCCTTGCCAGGTTTCTGAGGCCCCTCATGGTCTGACTCCCCTTTCTGGACCTGACAGCCTTTTGCATTTTCCTCCACGCATCCTCTCTGCTCTTAGTCAGGTGGGTTTCTTAATGTCCCTCAAACACACAAAGCTCCTTCCATTTGTGATCATGCTTTTTAACCCCAGCCTGGGGAACCTTCTCCACTTTCCTTATAGATCACACACCTGTCGTTTGGCGTACAACTCAGGGGTCACCTCCTCCATGGATCCTTCACTGACCAGCTAAGAACCCCCTTCCTGTGAGCTTCCACAAGTCTGCAGTTTAACCACGGTGTTTAGCAGTGATTTACATTAGTCTTTAATAGTTTGTCCATTGTTTCACATTTTAATCACGTCTCCCGAAAGGAATCAAATCTCGTTGGCCAGGAACTGTAGACTCTACTTTGACACATATAGTCTGCTGTCTCCACTGAATCACACTGCGTTACACTGCATTATACTATACAATTTTGTACCCAAGCTTTTGAGCCTAAGTGTTTTGGTTGGTTGTATTTAGGTAGACTCTGCCCCACCCTATATTTCTCCATGACCTAGAATGCTATTGCACTTCATCGTCTGCGCAAAGGTAAATACCATGTCAAAGGTAATTAATTTATTTTTATTAAAAAAAATGTATATATAACTAGCCATGTTTATCCCATCTTATAGAATCCTCATTTATGTACACAGATATTTTATGAATTTTCAGGCACATGGTTTATTCTGGTGTTCTTGGTCATATCTTTTTAGATTTGTTTGAAAAAATTAATCAAATAAGAGTTAATTAAACCCCTCACTTTTTTACCCTCTAGTCATCTGATCTCAAAGGGGAAAAACAATTTTTTGACTGTACTGTTAGAAAGATTCGCTCATCTTCAGTAAGGTGTTTTCTTGTCAAAGAACTAAGGTTTTATAATCATTTACATTGAAGTCACTTGATGCCTGTCAACGTGAAAAATAATTTGCTTAGAAAAAAATGGGGATATGGTTATTTATCCTTTTGCCAGTATATGCAACTTCAAACTCAATGAGCTAAAAATCTGTTCCTTTCAGAATATAAATTGACTGTCAGGAATCTGTGTACCAAATGATTATGTGCTGCATGTTTCTCTCTTAATTCATGCACACCATGTATTGTATAGCATTACCTCATATGCCGTAATCATCATGTGTCACATGCGAGATACATAAAATACATCATGAATGTCCCACTAGATATCAAAGGCATCCAAGTCTAATTAACTTATTTTTACAGACTTTTGTAGTTCTTGTCCCAGAACATATAAACATCAGAAATCAGAAGTCAGTCTAAATGTTTGAATACTCTCTTGTATTAAATTGTAATAACTTCGTTTGCTATTCTTTGGTGATCTGTACATTTAGTCTGGATTTCTTTCCAGCATCCTTCTTGATTTTTTTTTTTAATATCGCTTTGGAGCAATTTAAAAGAGGACTCAAACAGGAACTCCTTTTCATTATTAAATAGGCTCAAGCACTGTGAATTATGGCATGTGGGTTGGTCACCATATTAACCCACTGTAGGTTTTTTCCAGAGTTAAAAGACTCTGTCTCGCTTCATTGCAGAGCAAAACTTATATTCTTTTTAATTTAGGAGAGTCCATAGGGGATAGAAGAATCTACAGAAGGGAGTAAAGCTGGTTTTCCTCGGAAATCTCAAGGACATATTGAGGTTTCTGGCCATTTGGGATCTGCACTACCTTACAGGAGGGTAATACCTGGAACTTAGAGGACACAGAAGGAAGATGCGTGGTGTGCCTTGGCCTCCATTGTCTTTTCATTGCAGGGTGATTGTGTCCACAGAACTCAGACAGAAGAGCATGTGAGCTCTGGCCTGTGACTCTGTGCCTGCCCCTTACTCACCAAGGGCGCGAGTCCTATAAACACATTCCTCCACCCCACTCCATTCCCTTCTTCTGACCCACGCCTCATGTACCCTTTGCTTTTCCATATACATCAGGGTCTGGAACAGCATAGGGGTAACACAGGCCAGGCAGGTTGGGGAGACTCTATGTCAAGGACAGTTATGTGCCCCTTTTCTGCCTTGTAGGAAATCGAAGTTTTTCCTCTCAAGAAAATTTGCTGCATTCAAACAAAAAGAAGTGAGAATTAGCAGTAGTCCTTATTCTTGAAAGGTCCTCACCCATTCCCGTTTTAAAAAGCAGGACCTTAAACTTCTTGAAACAAAACCCTCAGGCCAAGGGTTAAAACCTGTGGGCTCAGGCAGGCTGAAGTTCAGAAGTCCCCTCAGATACCTGTTGTCAGGCAGGAATCTGTGGCTGTGTGTTGGGGTTCACCAGCCATCCAGCCTGGAGTGGCTGGCTGTCTCCATGTTACCCCTGGTAAGTCTGCTACAGAGATCCCTAATCTCAGGGTGGAGGAAGCCCCGAGCCTTCCCAGAAGACCGCAAAGGAAAGGAAAACTCTAAGAAATCTGGCCAACTTGGATTGTAATTTCAGCACTTTTATGACAAATTCTTGTAATGTTTACTCATTTTCCCATTTTTTTTTCCCAGAAAAGGGTACACTTTGCCTCCCAGGGTTTTGTAAGTAATGCTGACACATTTTTGTAGCAACTGTCATTGAATGATACTTACTTTTCTCCTAGTTTTCATCATGAAGTCAGAATTCATTGATGTGAGACATATGAAATATTTTTTCTGTGGTTTTGAGACCATCTTGGGGCGGCAGCACTAAAGGAAATGGGTGGAGAATTGTTATTAACTCTATTGAACTTGAGTTCTCCCAAATCGAACACATTATCTTTCTAGAAATTTATTCCGAGCTCCTTAAATACCAAATTCCTTTCTTTTGCTCATTCCAATGTTATATCCTCTCTTTTGAACTAATCTGAAATGTGAATTATTTTCTCTCCTAGTAGATGACATAGAATAACTGTGGAACAGAGCATTGCAAATAATAAGTAGTCAATAAATTGTTCCAGAATGAGAGAAATTCAGTTGTGGTTTTAACTGTCATGCTTAGGAGAGATGAATTCCCACAAATCATTCTTTTCCTGCCCTTTAAAATAATATTAAAATAATGTTTTCTAATGCATAGCCTTTGTAGTAAATTACAGGTAGTGTAAATGAGAAAACAAAAGATCACCACCCATAATGTCCTCATTACAATGATATTTTGATGTGTATTTTTGTATTTTATATATGTAAAATATATTAAAATATGTAATATCATATATATATTCACACACATACGTACCTACATACAGAGAGAGAGATTCTATTGAGGTAACGTTGGTTTATACTACTACATAATTTTCATGTGTACAACGTATTTCTGCTTCTGTATACCCTGCAGCATGATACCCCCTTTTCATTTTGGTCTCCCTCTGACCCCTTCCCTTCTGGTAACCGCTACTCTATTCTCTGTATCTGTGTGTTTATTTTTCTTTGGTATGTTTTGTTCATTTATTTGGGGGTTTTTGGCTTATTTTTTCTATTCCACATACACATGAAATCATGCAGTATTTGTTGTTCTCTGTCTGACTTATTTCACTTAGCATAATACTCTCAAGGTCCATCCATGTTGTTGCACATGGCAAGATTTCATTCTTTTTTATGGCTGAGTAATATTCCATTGTGTATATTTATACACATCTTTTTGATTCTCATCTATTGATGGACACTTAGGTTGTTTCAGTATCTTGGCTATTATAAATAATGCTGCAGTAAACATAGGGGTACATGTATCTTTTCAAATTATTGTTTTTGTTTTCTTTGGACAAATTCTCAAAAGTGGAATTGGTGGATCTATGGTAGTTCTATTTTTAATTTTTTGAGAAATCTCCATGCTATTTTCCATAGTGGCGACACCAATTTATATTCTCACCAATAGTACCTAAGGGTTCCCTTTTATTCACATGCTTAATGACACTTGATTTTTTTTAAACCTTTTTTTTATTGAGTTATAGTCATTTTGCAATGTTGTGACTGTTGATTTTTGACATCTGTTTGATAGTAGCCATTCTGAGGGTTGTGAGGTGGTATTTCATTGTGGTTTTGGTCTGCATTTCCCTGATGATTGCTGAGGGTAAGCATGTTTTCATATGTCTTTTGGCCATATGCTTGGAAGAAACGTCTATTCAGGTCTTCTGCCCATTTTTTAATTGGATTTTTAAAAATACTGACCTGTGTGAGTTCTTTATGTTTTGTATATTAGCCCTTTATTGAATATTTGCAAATATATTCTCCCATTCAGTAGGTTGCTTTTTCATTTTGTTAATGATTTCCTTTGCTGTGCAAAAGCGCTTTAGTTTGATATAGTCCCACTTGTGTATTTTTGCTTTTGTTGCCCTTGTTTGAGGAGATACACTGCTAAGACTAATGTCAAAGAGCATACTACCTATATGTTCTTCTAGGAGTTTTGTGGTTTCTAAAGTAGATTAGAGATATATCTAAGTCTCTAATCTACTTTGAGTTTATTTTTGTATAAGATGCAAGAGGGTGGTCCAGTCTAATTCTTTTGCATATAGCTATCCAGTTATCCAACACCATTTTTTTTGAAGTCAGGGAAGCAATTTAATCTATGTGCCATGAATCAGTCTAGTGATGACCAGGGTACAAAAGCACCTTGATAGATGCTGAACCACAAACATACCTTGTGCCTGTGGAGTCTGTGGATCTATTCTTTAATATTTAAAAAAATGAGCCAGGGTGAATGACTCCTCAGAAAGCATATTTTCATAGACTTCTGTGTGGTGATTGCTTTGTGTGAAATCATGTTTGGGTGATAATAGGGAAAATCAGGAGCATGTTTACTGCATTTCCAACAAAGCGCCTGCCTGCTGCCTCCAAAGGCTCCTGATCCTCCCATGCTGAGCTGTTCGCACAGAGTGGCAAATAATCGCTTAGCAACATCAGGGGGACAATTTGCACGCATCACATTTGTTATTCCAATTGCACTCGGCAACATGAGGCTACTGATTGTTTAATGCTCTGTGGACACTTGCCTAACACCATTTACTGAAGAGCCTGTCTTTTCCCCATTGTATATTTTTGCCTCCTTTGTCATGGATTAATTGGCCATGTAAGTGTGAATTTGTTTCTGAGCTCTCTTTTCTGTTCTATTGATCTGGTAGGTCCATACCGTTTTGATTACTATAGCTTTGTAGTATAGTTTGAAATCAGGGATCCTGGTACCTCTAGCTTTGTTCTTTCTTGTAATTGCTTTGGCTATTGGTGATCTTTTGTGTTTCCATATAAATTTTAGGATTATCTGTTCCAATACTGTGAAAAATGCCATGGGTATTTTGAGAAAGATTACCTTGACTCTGTACATTGCTTTGTGTAGTGTGGACATTTTACCAATAGTAATCCTCCTAATTCATGAGCATGGTATATTTTTCCACTTATTTGTGTTGTCATCAATTTCTTTCATTATTGTAATAGAGTTTTCAGAGTACAGGTCATTCACATCCTTGGTTAAATTTATTCAAATGTGTTTTATTCTTTTTGATGCAATTTTTTTCTGCATTTCTGCTTCTGGTAGTTTATTGTTGTATATAAACACAATAGATTTCTGTGTAGTAGTTTTGGATGCTGCAACTTTACTGAATTCATTTATTAGTTCTGATCATTTTTTGGTGGTGTCTTTAGGATTTTCTATATACAGTATCAGGTCATTGGTAAACAATGACAGTTTTTCCTTTTTCATTCCAATTTGGATACATTTCTTTTTCTTTTCTGATTTCTGTGATTTCTAAAACTGTTGAATAAAAGTGGCAAGAGTGGTCATCCTTGTCTTGCTCCTGATCTTAGAGGAAAAGCTTTCAGCTTTTCACTGTGAAGTATTATGTTAGCTGCGGGTTTATCATATATGGCCTTTGTTATGTTGATTTGTGTTCCCTCTATAAACACTATGTAGGAAATTTTTTACCATAAACGGGTGTTGGATTTTCTCAAATGCTTTTATTTTTTTGCATCCATTGAGATAATTATATGATTTTTAGCCTTTGTTTTATTACTATGGTACATTATGTTGGTTGATTTGCAGATATTGAACCCTCCTTGCATCCTTAAATTACACTTGATCATGCTGTATGTGCCTTTTAATGTATTCTTGAATTGGGTTTGCTAATATTTTGTTGACGATTTTTTGCAACTATGTTCATCAGTGGTATTGCCTGTAATTTTTCTTTTTCTGTGTGTGGTGTCTTTGTCTGGTTTTAATATCAGAGTGATTCTGTCCTTGAAGAATGAGTTCAGAAGTGTTCCTTCCTTTTCAAATTTTTGTAATAGTTTGAGAAGGATAGGTGTTAATTCGTCTTTAAATGTTTAGTAGCATTCATCTGTGAAACTGCCTGGTCTTGGATCTTTGTTTGTTGGGAATTTTTTATTTCTGATTCATTTCATTACTGGCAATTGGAATGTTCATATTTTGTATTTCTTCCTGATTCAATGTTGGGAGATTGTACATAGGAATCTAAGAATTTATCCTTTTCTTCCCGGTTATCTATTTTATATTATTGGCATATAATTGTTCTTGGTAATTATTTATGATTCTTTGCATTTTTGTTGTGTTTGTTGTAGCT